TCTCTTTTGTCCTCGACCTAGTCTCAGTTAGACCACCAATTCCCAGGGTCTAGAATCTTAAAAGGAAAACCTTTAATTAAGTAGAACTCCAAAAGGACTCCTCACGATCTCTGATAATGAAGTCTAAGGATTGGGAGGGATGGAAGTGGATGGCACCAGTCTTGTCACCTCCCAAAGAAATAACCCATTCTCAAATAAGTAAGACGGTGGGTTCTCAAGCATCCTTGGTTATGGGAAGCTCAATACCTCACAAGAAAAGCCATCTGGTGTTGAGAAGCTCTGGCTGAAATCTGTTTTCTTCTAATGTCTAGTATTTTGGAAGACTTTCTAGCCATTGTTCTGTATACTTTATGTACGTAATTCCCAAGCCTTCCCACAATTTTGAAAGGTAGATGTTATTACCCTTATTTCTTTAAGTAGGAGAAAATAAGACTCAGGAGGTTAAATGGCTTGTCTGAGGTCATAGATCTCATAAGTGCCGGAGCCTTATTTACAGCCAAGTCTGTCTGATTTTATAACGTGTCCTCCTTCCACTTCTTAACTGATGGCATTCCTTTCTTTTTCAGCTATCAAAACCCCACTTGCCTTTAAGGTTACCTTAAATTCTGATTTTTTAATTAGACCTTTTTTAACCATCCCATCCTGGGGTGTTCAGCTTCCTATTAAGAGCCCTTGCAGCATTTTCGTTTTGTGAAATTCTTATGACAGTTACTCCATAAGATCATATATCATGAATTCTCTCTTACTGTAAACTTAAACTTTATTTAAATATTGTTTGATTACTTAGAATCATGGAATACCAGATATGGAATGGCAATAAGCAGTAATAAAAATGACAATAGCAGGCAGTTATTATTTACTCTAAGCAGTGTATTACTCTGTGATTTACTTGTGTTAATTTATTTAATGCAAACAAAACCTTGTGAAATATGTACATATATCATTTCCATTTTACAAACGAGGAAACTGAAGTACAAACAAATTAGTTAATTTTCCCATGGTCAACAGTTACACGCTCAAAATCACTTAAATCTCAAGAAGTCGTTGAAAGGGAAAGGTTTCTTTTCTTTTTTTTTAAACTCATTTGGCAGCAAAAAAATTGATCTGACCTGAACTCCTTTTGTGGTAAAGTCTGACCTGAACTGACACCATATTATTTGTAATCTTTATTAATCTCACTTAGTGTTAACATGCATATATTTTACGGCAGAAATATTTATTTAGTTACTGAGTACTGCCCCAGACCTTGCTGGGGGCAGGGGTGTGTTGTATAGTATTCATACCTTGTCTTCCTATCCCCACCCCCAAATCCTGTATTTAAAAATGCATTTGGTCCTAAATGATTTTGCAGAAAGGACTGCAGATCTGTTACTAGTGGTAAAAGAGCCTCAGTTCAAGTCAGGCTATCGGATACCAGAGCCTGGATTCAGAACAGCCACATTAACTTTTCCAACACTTTTCAGTTACAATGAAGAAAAGCAGATGTCAAAGAGAAGCAGTAACTCACCAGTTTTATTTAGATTGTAAATATGTATATACATATTTTCATATTTTACCAACATTTCACACAGGGTACTTTTTCTTTGTTTATGTCTTGTCTACCAACTCAACTCTTCGCTCTTGTGAGCAGAGGCAGCATCTGAGACGCAGGCGTTCCTCTCCTGGGCACACCATGCCATAAAATCCTCTTGCCATCCGGTTGAATCCAGCTCATAGTGACCTGATAGGACAGAGTAGAACTGCCCCATAGGGTTTCCAAATTTGTAAATCTTTATGGAAGCAGACTGCCACATTTTTCTCCTGTGGACTGGCTGGTGGGTTCGAACCACCAGCCTTTTTGGTTAGCAGCTGAGCACTTACTCACTGTGCCACCAGGGCGCCTCACCATGCCATAGTGGTTCAGAAACCAAACTTTGGAGTCACAGGGACCTGTGTTTGAATTCCATCTCTACCATTCACTGGCTACTTGGCTTTGGACCGTCTCCCTGAGAATGAAGAAAACCTAGTAAGACAACGGTGATAATCAGCCACATTGCAGGGTTGTTGTGGGGCCTGAAGAGGAAAACGTACATAAAGTCTGGTACAGAGCAATGGTTAAAGAGATGGCATTATTTCTTCTGAATGAATCTTTGATGATTTTAATTTATTTGAATTCAACCTAACAGGCTTTGGCATTCTCTCTCCTTGTATTGCTTATATGTTAGCACAGACAACCTCTGAGCCTCACATTTCCACTAGTGAGGAGGGCAGGTCCTGCTGAGTCTCTTTGTTTTCTTGCCAGGCAGCCACTCATGACCCTATTCAGTGAGGCAGACATGGGAGTAAGAATGATTAATCTCCCATTCCAAAGAGCATAAAGTTTGGACCTTGACTTGAAAAACATCATTTTCAGGTTCTATACGTAGAGAAAATCCTCACAGATAAGACATTCATAGGTATAATACAGAGAATTAATATTCTGCCATTGGAGAATTCCATCACTACCCAGCTGTTTTCAAAAGAATGATATTCATGCGAGACAATCCTTCCTTACCCTTTTAGGTAGGCCATATCTATTGTCAAAGACTGATTGACCCCAAACGTCAGCTGGACTAACGTGCCTTTTGTTTCCTATGGAATATATTAGATATACACTAGATGGAATATACTAGATATAATCCAAGGGTTTGAGTCAACCAGAATGGTAAGCACAGTTAGAGGACTGCCTGCATTAGATTCATCAGGAGAACTTTTTAAAATATAGTTCTTGACCCCACTCCCAGAGATTCTGGATTCAGTACCTCTGCTAGGACCCAGGCATTCATATTTACATTCCTCAAGGTGTTTTTTTTAGTAGAATGTTTTTTAGACTATCCATTTTAGGTTTATAAAAAAGTTGTGTGGAAAGTGCAGAGATCTCCCACATACCCTCTTCACTCCCCCTACCCCAGCACTGTTTCTCCTGTTGTTAACATCTTGCATTCCTGTGGTACATTTGTTACAACTTGTGAACAAATAAAGCCAGTTGCCCTTGAGTTGACCCTAGCTCATGGATGTCAGAGTAGAACTGTGCTCCATAATGTTTTCAGTGGCTTTTTTTTTGGAAGTAGATCGCCAGGCCTTTCTTCTGAGGTGCCTCTGGGTGGACTCAGACCTCTAACCTTTCAGTTAGCAGTCAAGCATGTTAATTGTTTGCAATATCCAGGGATTCCGATGTACTGGTGTTGATACATTATTATTAACTCAAGTCCGTAGTTTACATGAGCATTTGCTTTTTGTGTTGTACATTTCTATGGGTTTTTCATATACCACCAGGTTCAGAAAGACTTCTTTAAGCTAAAGGAATGAGATCTCAGTTATTACTTACTCATTTGTTATAGGGCCACATTCAGGTTTCTTGCCAGCTCTGATTCCTAGGTTTTTCATTAGTAAAATGGGATGTTAGTTAGACCATCTCTAAGGTTTCTTCTGGTGGTAATGTTTTATGATTTTATTTCTGAAGTCATAGCAATTGCAGTATATGGTTCTGGACGGCTCAGGATAGGTGTTTTTTGTTGTTGTTGTTGTTGGTGGTGTTGTTTTTTGCTTTTTGCCAAGATGGATGTTGTGTTATAACACAAGGCATAATGGACTGTGGGTAACTGATCCCACAGTTAGAACAGCAGTGGAGAGAGTTCTGGCTTTAAAGCAAGAAAACCTAGATTCTTTTCTTCTTTCTCTAAAACCCCGTGGATAGTAGGCAAGC